GATTCAGTGCATATTTAATCACAGTGTGTGAATTGTATGTGGGGAAATTGGCAACCTTAAAAGTTCCGCCTTGGTGTGATTATTATTTTGGACTACCTTATCTTCTGTGGAGTTTCAGCTTATGCTTTGCGCTATTCGGTTTTACTTTTTTGCAGCTACAAAATCATTGCACTTGGTGTGCGAAACATTAATTTGTATAAATTTTAGTGCTCTCTTGCCCCTCCTCCTTACTCGCTTCCTTCCCCCTCTCCTTCCTTGCTCACTCTCCATCCAACTGGAAATTTTGTTACTTTTTTATGCTCATTTTCCTATTTAAATAAAGTCAAGTAGAGAAAGGCAACTGCTGCTTAGTTGGTTCATTCTCGGTTCTTTACCTCATGGGAAGGTACGAATCACGAGTTAGCTTTGATACTAATGACTTCTCCACTGATGAACTTGAAGATGAAGCAAATTATGTCGCTTAACCTGCTTCTGAAGGTTCTTTCACCTATTTGTGTCTGAAGGAGACTGTATTCAAATCGAGGGTGAGGAACGTGATGATGTGGTTGTACGTCATGGTCGCTGGCAAGTGGAGTCAGATTTGATTGTCGTCGACCACTGTACTCCTGCCAGAGGTAGCGTTCTACTGTCTACTCGTGCTCTCGGCTGAGTGAGCCAGCTCTCTTGTCACTGTTGTTGACAGGTCATGGGTGGAATTTTTCGTAGGTCGTTCTGTGTGTGTGTGTGTGTTCCAACACTTGCATCACCTCCGCTGACCCCAGGTTTTTCTTCTTTGGTTCTTGACGGGATATTCACTACAAAATGAAGAATTTGCCAATGAGGCGAGCCATTTCACAGCTTTACCAATAAGGATCAGTTCCTTTGCCGTCTTTTTTTCCAGATTGACCCCTACCTGTCTCAAACAGGGCTGAGAGGTACATTTTTCATGTCTCGGATATTGTGGGTAGTGCGGTGTCATCTCAAGACTGGATGACTGTCAAAAGTGGAGACATGAACTTTGGAAGACCTTTTGTTTCTTTAGTGCGTTATTGCAGACTCACCTAAAAGGGGCGATTCAAACTACAAAAACTTAAGAGTCCACGCTAAATAAAATCGACAACTGTGTCTCCAGTTTTTTCCTAACCAAATAAACAAACGTATCTACATTTACCAGGGAACAAGAATGGTAGTTATTTGACGGATTTCTAGTGATTACTTTCTTCACTCTCTCTCTATTGTCAGAAAAAGGTGAAGGTGGAGGAAGGAGACCAGTTTGGTGAATTCGTTTGTTCGAATTTGCAGTCCATCATACACACGAGCACACATTCACGCATTCTGTAAATTCAACGCGACTTGGATCGTTGATTTTCGCCTCGGAGGCGTTGAACCTTCCTTGGGTTCATCCCTTAAATAAAGCTAGTGTTTGAGGCATTTGGGGTGTTGTTATGAAGTTGGCAGATTTTCATCCACTCTGGAATTATCCAATTTTCTATCTCCAGATGCCAAAAACAGA